CCTAAATACTACTGACCTATTTATCATCCTTAAACATTGCTTTCATTATTTCTTTTCCCAGCTCAAAAATAGTCTTGTTAATACTCACTAAGTCCTGCTCATTTGTGTATCAGTATTTTGCCATATGTCTGTCTGTCCATCCATCCATCCATCCATCCATCCATCCATCCAAGTATCTTTGAGGCAGAACAGCATTTGGTGATTACTTTGGAAATTATTTCCACCCCCATAGCCACAGCCACTTTTGACAATATTGCTTTCCCTCTAAATGAGTATTGAATTTTTCTCATCCCTGAGCTCTCCTGGCAGGCCAGGCCCAGCCTTTCCAGTCTATGTCCTATGTGACCCATGGATGTCAATATTAGCAGCAAGATAAGGAGTGAGAATTGGTAGGTAGTCAGTAAAATAAATATGTTTGCTTCGTCTGTGCTATTGATTTATCATTGGGGATTTTCGTTCTTTAACTTATGACCTTGGCATTGCTGTCAGTTCTACAATGAAATGTGGTTTTTATGTTTGAAATGCAAAATTAAATTAAGGAATTATTTATTATTCATAAAATATCAATGACAACCTACATGTACTGCAGGGGCAGCAATTTATACTGCTAGAATCTGGCTGTAATTAGAATTCTTCAAATAACTTGAGGGGGCAATACATTATTAATAGTGTATACTATTTGTAAATACGGTTTAAATGTTTTTGCTTATGAGATTTGTTAAAAAAAAAATAGAGGTCTGTATAAAGGTCTACTACCTTTAGTGCTATAATAATATACCTATAAATCAGACCCACATGTTGCACCTTGTTGAATTTCTGTTTTGGGCTATTTTTAAACAACTCCTCTTCTATGCCCCAAACTCTTCCATTTCTTTTTTTCTCATTTCTCATCTCTTCTTCTTGATTCTCTTATCTTCATTTTCCACCATTTAAATAAAACCTATAGACTCAGCCCGTGTTCCTAAAAGGTAAACATGCTGGTATGAAATGTTACCCACCAAACATCCCCTTTCCTTTATTTCTCAGATAAAGCCCTAAAGCAAATTCCCAAGTGTCAATCTGTATGCTTAGACAAGTCAGTGACACCCCAGAGAGGCTCATGCTACCGGTCCCAAGTATCCACCCCACTTTGTACGTTAGGCCAATATTCAAATTCTTTTATAAACTGAGTCCAGCTTTTGCTGAAGGAACATCTTGACCAATTTATGAATGACAGTATATTTTTTCCAATGCTGATTAATAGTGGGTTCAAAAACCTTGTATGTAAGGTTGGAGTGGGGTGTCAAAGTTACATTTTCTTGTCACTGAATAGCTTTTAAAGCAAATGCACATACCATGCATGTGATTTCTCTTTTTAAGTTATCCTTCCCTAGATGAGCAGTTTGTTTTTCACAGATTTGCTTGCTGTTTTCCTCATGTCTGTTTTGTATGTATAAGAAGAAAGTATAGTTGGTTGGTAAGTGGGAAATGATGACATTTATGCCAATTGGCTAGCAGCAGCTCTAGGCTTATCTGACCCTAACTGTAGCTACAACTGTACCCTTCCGTAAAGTATCTTTACTGCATTAAAAAAATAAAACAAGCAAACCACTACCAAGAAAAAATAAATAAAACATGACTGCTAATCGAGTTAAGATGAAAAGAACTTCCTGTCTTGAGGAGAATTGTTGTCTTTGACAAGCTGATTGTAGATAAAAAGACCAAGGTGCTTTTCTAAATCTGGAAAACTTCTTTAATCCTTTATTAGTCCAAATAAAATAGTGTTTAATTCCAAGAAACTGCTGCTTCTAGACATCTAACTACCTAATTTTAAAACTATTTCATTTTATTATCTAACTTAAACTTAGTAAACTAATAGTCCTTTTCTGTAGTCTCACATTTCTAGTTAAAATTTTTACTGGGAATTTTTTGCTTCAGATCTGTTTTTTAGCCTTTATTTTTTAATAAGGAATAATTAAATGTTCTTGGTGTATAGTGCTTCATTACCAGAGAAGTAGTCTATGCTTTTAAACAGTAAGTGACCATTAGGTATTTGCTTATTATTCCTCATGTAGCTATGGATGCACATGTTTATATATGGATTCATTCTTTGCCTACCTAATACAGAGATTCTTTGAAAGACAATTGTCATGAATTTTATAATCTTAATAGCATACATTTGTGTAGTACTTTCAGATTTATGGAGTACTTTCCCATAGCTTATCTCATACATTCACAATAGCCTTGTGATGTAGGTAGGTGGCACTTAGAGTGTTATCTCCCACTTTATAGATGCAGAAAATGGGTCCCAAGAGGTGAGGTGACTTGTCCAAGGTCACATAGGTGCCAGGATGTTGATTCGTTGATAATTGATTCCATGCAACAATAGGTGTTAATAGAAGTTGGAAAGTAGTGCAACACTATCTTTTAAAAATATTGCTTTTAAGAAATTTCCTAGGAAGAGATTAAAATAAACCAAACCTACCATATACCAGGCGGTAAAATACTAGTGGCCCTCTTCTCCAATTTTTGTCAAGTTCTATTCACACTGAAATTGTGTTTCTACTACAGAGTTGATAAAAAGTATAAATGATTAAAATAACAGCTATACTGACATAAGAAGGCTTCCCTCCTGTCTTTCATGAAATAAAAGAATAGATGACAAATACATATACATGATATTGTATTCTATACAATCCCACTCTGTTTGTAGTGATTATAGATACCTGATTTGGTTCTCTTCTATACAGTCTGATGTAAGTGTATGTGTGTATATATATACATACACAAATTATTAGATAAAAAATGAGGATGATAAGATGATTTCCTTGGGAAGCTACCCCTGGTTTTGCATCCATAATGAAGTGATTATATTTGTTCAAGATGAAAGATGACCCTGACCCTTTATATGAGGTGCAGGATTGTTTATGTCCTTGCTCATTACTACTGTGGGCTTCATGTGTCTTGAAGCAAATGTATGTAGTGTAATGGAAAAACCTATTATGCTTTGTGACTTGAGATTCAAAGTGTGGACTGGGTAAATATGCATCTCAGGCTGCTTTCTTTTGCTCTTATTTGAATCTTTTATGAATCTGGGTAAATGAAAAAGTACTGACAGAAGGCTGAAGGAAGACTCAATAATGGTTTCTCGGCATTTCAAGTATCAAGATGTATTAAGACTAGTTATTCTCTACTTCTATTTACCAAGAAATAAGCCTAAATTACAGTGAGGAGAGATCAAGTTTGCTGATAAGGAAAAAGACCAAAAATCTTAGCCCTAGAGATTGATCATAAGGAATTTTAACAATGGTAACCATAATACTGGGATATTTTAAGTGTAATTAGCCTTATGGAATAAATAGTTTCTAAAGAATGGCATTTTTTTAAAGCCTATAATTCTGTGTATAGCACTCAGTTCATGGGGTATTTCCATCAGATTCAAGTGTAGTCTACCTAGTGCTTGCTTAAATCAGGGAGAAATATAGCAAAAATGTGCTCTGTTGAGGGGACACATAAATGAATAGTACATAATTTAAGGTGGCTTTCTCATTATTTCAAGAGAAAGAAAAATAAAATACTCCATCTGCTTTTGAAAAGAGCAATAAAAAACCTAATAATTCAGTGTTACCTTCAGTTGTAGATTCCAGAAACTTAAACAGGGTTGGAAGAAAAGAGAGTAACAAAGAAAGAGAATGGCAGTAGAGGGGAAAAAATGAATTGAGACATAGATTCAGGCAAAAAAATATACAGAGTGTTAAAATTTGATTCAGGAAATCAGAGCCTCAATCATTGCTCCTCCACAAATTAGACATGTGATTTTGGGCAAATTGTTCTTGAGCATCTTTTGAGCCTCAACCTATGTAATCTGTAAAATGGTAATGATATTTGTTCATTTTCAAAGGGTAAGAAGATGAAATAAAAAGTTAGAAGCAATATACAAAAATACTAGTAAGGTATCATTATTTCTCTCAAAAATTTGGCCACAGTTACTTAGAGACTCCAGGATCACCAGACTGGAGCTCCAGAAAAACAAAGCTAAAATATGGAGGGGATGAGCAGGATCCAAGTTATCAGGATTGCTATCCCAGCAGTGAAGCTGTAGCTGCTCAAAATTAGAGGGTACGCCATTCTGAATCCCACTTCCTCGTTATCATTCCTGGTGGCCTAGAACAGATATGTCCTTTACGAACTTAGAGTGAAGGAAGGAAGGGTTCACATTCAGTCATACCCAAGGAAGGAGTCCTACTCCCCAGAAGAGATCTCTGTGCTTCAGGGTGGACATCTTTACATTTGCCTTCCTCTTACTTTTCTTTCCTCTTCCCCTTCATTCCATGGCAAATAGAAATACGCTGTCTTGGTTTAGAGGAAAGTGGATTCAACAAAAATTCAGCGAACGACTTTTTGTTATTTCTTCATTCTTTCCTTTATTTTGGCCCTTTCACAATGAGAAAGCGAAAAAGCTAAGGCCCTCTGTAGTTTCTCATGTTTTAGATGGGTCTTTTTTATTCTGGATTTCCAAAATTTCCATAATTTGGGTCAATTTGATCAGTGCTTTAGGGAACATGGCAAATGAAGTCAACATGGGGGTATAATATACACATAGATCAGTGAATTGTACAAAGAGAGGAATTATTTTTTCATAGACTAACCCTGCACACTTGTCTTGTACCTGTGTACTATCTGAGTAAGAATGTGAATAAATTACTACAGATCCATCTATCTCAGTGCTAGAAAAATAACCCCAGCGTGCATACCCTACTGCCTCATCTTCACCTTTGTGTTTTATTGTTTTTTTTGTCCTAGGAATAGCCTGAATGATCAAAGGGCACAGTTGCTATAAAAAAATAATTACTCTTTCATCTGTTTCCTGAATTTTTAAGTGCTCCAAATCCACACAAACACAAAATAAAAACTCCTTTGAAGTGGGGCAAGAGCAATATGTCCTAGAATTGGTTGCTTTAATAAGTGCCTTTTCCTCCTTCTTAATCACTAAAATGCATTTCTTTCTTATTGTTTTCCAGACACCCTGGCTGTGGAACACAAAGCAGTGCTGGTACAATTATCCGTATCAGGTAGGAGAACTTGTTTTCCTTCTTGATAGATTGTGATGCCCCAAATTCATTGCATTTTCTCTGTAGCCCTCATCAGGATGATTAACTCTTTGACTCTTTGGTGCCCTCTACTGGTTGATATTGGAAAGCAGCCCTGGTTAGGGAAAAGGGTTCTGGGTATATGTGTGTCTGTATGTAAGGGGTAAGTCCAGCAGGCATATACATTTAAGGGTGAGTATAGTGCTCTATCAGTTAAACAGGTGGGGCTGGCTATTTTTAATTACTAGAAGCCTGAGGGTTTCTTGACAGCACTGACACATATAAACAGACTGTGTAGAAAGATCAAGTGCAGAATTTTAGGGTAGCAAGCTGTTTGTCTTATTTTGTGATTTGAGAAGACTTTGGAAATGTAAATGAAGCATTCCTTCCTTGGGGGCATAAGTATGGAATTGGCCAAATATAAGAGAAACTCATCCATGCAACTGAAAGCTGTTTGAATGGAGACTAAAACCACAGTTTTGGAAGACATTTTTCAGATCCTTGTATTCTGAAGTATCTTTGCATCTACCCACTAATTCAGTAAAATTAGTATTGGTTTTGGTACGATATCAATCTAGATTTGAATATCAAAACTAGAACTTTTCTCATCCATCTAGGGCAGTACATACACACATCTATCTACCTATCTATCTATCCATCTATCCACACACACGTACAGGGAGTCCTAGAAGTCTTAGTGCAGTGTTATGCTTTAATAGATTAAATAATAATAATAATTTAGTAGCTTTATAATTGCAATATCTTAAAACTATACTAAGAATTTTGGGACACTCTGTACATGAGAGCCAAATGTTCAACTAAATGTTTTGCCTTTCCTCAAGTAAGCAAGTACATTACACTACACAGGGTTCCTTTCTTTTGGTTCTTTTGAGACTTTGGGCCATTTTACATTTTGGTGTACATAGTTTTAATAAGGAGCATATACGTCTATTATCTTCATAAGAAAATACATAGTGTTCCAACGAGAGTTAGGAATTTATATCAGATGCCCTTTGCAGGGGAGTCCAAGGCTATGTATATGCATTCTATGTATGGAATCCTAGATTGAAATTTCTATTTCCTGGAGGTATTTTATCTAGATTAGAAAAGAATACAAATAACTAGCAGGATAACATTAAAGAACTCTGAGAATCTGATAGCAGATAATTAAATTACATTGGAAACTAATTGCTCACTGCAGTAGAACCACATTTTTGAGTCCCAAGTACTTTCTTTAAATATCTGTATTATTGCATTTTAAAGTTCCTCTTCTGCTCTGTAGTGATATGCTGAATTTCAGCATTCTCAAAGAGTAAAAATTCTGTTTTTGTTATCACTTGAAGGTTTCTAGAAACTTCAGTTCTCTTTTGGCATGGTAGCATTTCTACTAGGCCACATGTTAAGACAAATTCTACCATATGATCCAAATGAACAAGAATATGTGCTTTGTGAAATCTGGCACAAAATGTAATTTTTAAAAAACACCAAAAAACTCCCATGCTCAGTCCTATCACGTCTCCTAGCTTTATGGATGGAATTGATATGTTATTTGTTAGTGAAAAAATGAGTAGGCAACAGCAGTAGCCCAAAATGTGTTGACAGTTTCAGAGAGCACCAAACAATCAGCATGAGAGATTGAGTGTTCGATAGATGCAAGATTGTACAATGAACATTGGCTAAGTCATTGTCAAGAAGAGCACCATGCATGGGAACTTGTATCATTATTGTGCTTTTTACTGATAAGAAACTGTGTACTGCAAAGACATGAATTATTCAATACACAATTGGAGAAAGCTTGTAGAAAATTGTAATTATTTATGGAAAAATTGGTCATCTTAGGAGAATGCAGTACACTAATTAGAAATTAACTCCTTTTTTTCAGTGCAAAGAGTATTAACAAATAATCATTCTGCAAAAGGAAGATGTGACTATATATATGTAATGATAGAATTGTATGTATAGTTAGTTCTTTATTCACACGTAGATTACAGTTCAAGTTCTAGGAGAGTAATGACTTTAAAAGATGAAGTTTTTCCATAGTATTGATTCACACTCTTAATAACTGATATATTAATAAAATAACTAAATAGGTAGTAAGTGAAAGAGGTAATAGTGACCTTTTTCCCATTGTACTAAAGGTGTGCTGTCATGCAAAAATATAGATATTGTGCTATTTTACAAATATATGTAGGTGTAAAAATAGCAATATATTTATGTGATTACCTCATGAATTCAATGAACTTCATAAACAAGGTTGAAACTTTTAAGATGTTTCTGTCAGGGTGGGGTAAGTTCTCATTTTCAAAGAATATAATATTAATGTTAAAGGGGTAATTAAAAGAACACCCTATATTTATATAATATCTACAAAATGTTTTCCTCATGACATCCCTATATTGCAAATGTTTTTATCCCACATTTGAATATGAAGGCATCGAGATTAGCCTCAACAATATAGGATAGAGATGACATGGGATCATAATCTCTTCTCCCTTTGATCTGGCTTACTCATTCCAACCTTTGAATTCATTCTAGATCTAGACTTCCCAAAATGAGGACACAAACACTCTGCTACAGTTCACTACTATACTTTAGTGTTCTAGGGGTAGAGTTTTAGGGTAACTTTGGTGTGTGTATGTGAGGAGTATACTACTCACCACTGTGCATCCTGAGCCCCCACCAATGTATTACCAATTTCACACAATTATTCACCATGGTAGCAGTAACTCTTACATATAAAACATTTACTAAGTGATAAGATAAAATAAACAACAATAATCACAACATATATTCAATAGAAATCAAGGGCAGGAATAATTATAATCCATCCATAAACTCTGATCACAGTCTTCCAACAATGCACATAATATCAAGGCAGGAGAGTGAGTACACATAGAAACCTAACAGGGAGCCACATGAATGAGGAACCCCATGTGCCAGGGATGACATAGTTCTAGACTTCAGACCTTGATGTCCTTCAAGGACATGACATGAAACTACTCCTCTACTAGCTGTTTCCCTTCTGGTCCTTACTGCTGTCCTGCTGGGCAAAGCTATTCCTCTTTTGCCCTCAAGTCAATGAAACAATGACAAGCTATTTTCACTCGCAGCCACCTTTATCAGGGCACTTAAAAAAAAAAAAGTATTACTCTCTTTCAGTGAGAAGCAGTATTTTTAAGTCAGAGCCAAGCTCCTTAAATCTCTCCACTTTGTTCAGGTATCTCTAAGTCCTTTCTATTCACAGCAAAACATTCTATTTCTTCCTCTTAAACCCTCTTAAAACAGGAGAGGGCAACACAGGTAACCCCTGAGAGGATTCTCTTATCTCATCCTGTAGGCCCTAAAAAAACAACAGTTCCCGATAGCTCATTGCACAATAGCAGGGTTTATATAGCTCTCTTCTAACAAACTTCTAGCAGCCTTCTCCAGCCAGTCAGCAAAGCAATGCATCTCTTCCAACTAGCAGGTTCCCAGCAAAGCAGATGAAAGCCTTCTATGTCTTCTATCTCTCATCTTCTTGAGTTTCCTTTTCCATTCAGCTCCTTCTTTTATCTTTTCTTATAGCTTCTTAATAGTCTCTACTGCCTTGAATAAGAACTTCCTGGTATTAAGTGATTCATATTTACCTTAGGGAATAAAATTCAAGAAACCCATCTTTCTATCAGATATGGACTCCCATTAGCTCTTTTATAATTTTTTTCATAGTCCGTAAACAACTGTTTGATTTATAATATCAATTATAACCTTTAAAACTCTAAAAACAATCACAGGTAAATGATTTGAAGGACCATAATGCCCAGCAGCTACCATTATCTCAGTCATTTCTGCCTTAGAACAGGTCCTCTTAGCATATTCATCTGATTGGCAGTTCTCTATCTGGTACTCAGAGCATCATGAGCCATTCCTCAAAATTATATCAATGAGATACTGTTTCTTCATAAGTTGACTTTTATAAATTTTTATCATTTTTCTTTTTTTTTCTCTTCCTTTAAGCAACTAAACTGTTCACCTACAAAATAAGCAATTCTCAGGCAGCTGGTTGGTGCAATGGCTAGAGCACCAACCCTAGAGTCAGGAGGACCTGAGTTCAGATCTGGCCTCAGACACAAAACGCTCACTAGCAGTGTGACTCTAGGCAAGTCACTGAAACCCAATTGCCTCATCAAAAAAAAAAAAAAACAAAACCAATCAAATAAAAAAACCAAAATGGGCAGTTAATTACACTAAGAAGAAAGTATTAAACAGACCCCCATTTCCACCCACAGTCTTTGCCATCAACTAGTCAAACAACAAACATTAGTTACCTACTCTGTGCCAGGTGCTTTGCAAATTTGTTTTCTTCAGACTCTTCAGCATTTAATAAGTGCTCCCTAACAAACCTTCTCTATTGCCAGCAATCATTAATCAGGGAACACAGAAATTTCCACAGTGGGTCAAACCCAACTATTCTGTTACCAATAGCTTCTTCAAGGATTGTGTTATGATAGGGTGCCGTTATTCCTCCTGAAATTAACTTTAAATTTGGTTGTTTAACATGTTACTGCTTCTCTTAGTATGTATTGATAGGTATTGTCACTCACAAATGTTTCCAAACTCTTTAAAATCCATTAATTTCTTGGCAGTGATATTTCTTGGGGGTAATGAGTTTCATATGCTTATTACACAGAGGATAAGATTGTATTAAAAATTTTTTTAAACCTTTTCACTCAAGTTCTAACAAGATTTCGTCTATGTTAATCTTATCCACAGTGTACATAATTTTAGAAATTCCCATCCTGTTTCCTCTTAACCTTTACCTTTCTAGATGAAGAACTGCAGTGTCATAGAGTCTTTTTTTTTTGGAGGCAATCTAGGTTAAATGATTTGCCCAGAATCACAGTTAAAAAAAGTGTCTGAGGCGAGATTTGAATTCAAGTTCTCCTGACTCTAGGGCTGGTGCTCTATCGGCTACACCACCTGCCTGCCCAGTTTTAGAATCTTAATGTTGCAACACACCTTAAAGGTTGGCAAGTTAGCTGGTCATTCTATTATAATATCCTTCACAATTAATAGTAGCACTAGCTAAATAATAAATATTGACTTATATAGAACTTTCAGGTTTTACAAAGCATTTTACATACATCACCTCATTTGAAACCCACAACAACCTTGATGTGCTATGGTACAATTGTTGTTATTCCCTTTTTACAAACAAAGAAGCTGAACCTGAGCAAGTTTAAGTAACTTACCATGGTTGCACGATGAGCATCTTTCTATTTATTTATTTATTTATTTGTTTGTTTGTTTGTTTATTTATGTGTTTTATTTTTGGGGGGGACGGGACACAATGAGTAAGTATCATAGATGGGATTTGAACTCAGGTCTTTCTGATTCCAAGTCACTATGTCCAGTCTGGGTAGTCATTTAAACTCTACTTGACCACTTTTAGTAATAAACTCATTGCCCCAAGAGGCAGCTTTTTGCATTGTTAAATAGATGTAATTGTGGGAATATTCTTCCTTATTTTGAGCTATCTGCACTTGTGTAACTTTAACATTAGTCTTAGCCCTAATCTTTGTAGCTATACAGAATGATTTTAATTCTTCTTTTATTTTAGCCCTTCATGTATTTGAAGGTAGTAATTATATTTCTCTTCCCTTCCTTTTCTCCTCTCCTCTCTCCACACATATAGTTCTTTTCCAGGCTAAACATCTCAGATTCCTTTGATCATGATATGATTCTAAGTCCTCTCATCATCCTGGTTCCTCTTTTCTGGATATCCTCCTACTGCTCAATGTCCAATCTTAACTCAGTGTCCACTGAGACCTGAACACAAGAGTTTAGATGAGGTTGGACCAGTGCAGAGTATTAAGGAATTATTCTTTCTCTTGTTCTGAAAACTGTATTTCTCTTAGGATGAAAGGATTTAGAACTGGAAGAAATCTTATAGATCACTTCATTCAACCTCCTCATTTTGCAAATGATCATTTGATGATCTCTCATACATTATCAGAAGTAGTTAATGATTTGTAGGTTTGACAAATCTTGCAGGCTCTCTGTTGCTACTCTAAAACTTATGTAACCACCATATGAACAGAGACCCTTGTCTAAAATGTTCAAAAATCTTTTCTCCCTCCCTCCCACCCTTTGTCCTTCATTCTTGGTCTGTCTGTCTGTCTGTCTGTCTGTCTGTCTGTCTGTCTCTCTTTTTCTCTCTCTCTCTCTCCCTCCCTTCCTTGCCCTCCCACCGCACTGTTCATTTTCTTGATGATTACAGGCTCTTGGCTACTTGACTGTAGGGTCCCAGACTATTAGAGTAGCTTCTCCATTATTCTGATCATTTAAGTTAATGTTTTTAAGCATCCATTTAGTCTTGACAGTATGAAAAAAGATTTGTTCTGTAACAATAAGGTTTAATGATGAGTTGAGATAATTCTAACTCTTGAGAGGCAGCTAGGTAGTATAATGAATAGATTATTGGTCCTAGAGTCAGGAAGACCTGCATTCAAATCCAACCTTAGACACTTTAATTAGCTATGTGACCCTGGAAAAGTCACTTAACCTCTGCCACCATTTCTTCAACTACAATATGGGGATAATAATAGCACCTACTTCTCTGGGTTATTGTGAGAATCAAATGCAATAATATTTGTAAAAGCACTTAGCACAGTGCCTGGAACATCATAAGTGCATAATAAATGCTTGTTCCCTTTTCTTCTTATTCTTTTGAGCCTAGCTAAGCAATAAACTTTTAGCCTAAAACTGGGGACAAAAAACACTTACAGTCCTTATTCTTGTATAATAAAATCCCACAGCAGTCATAGAGTGTTATTCTTCTTCTCTGTTTTAGGATATGCTTGTGGTTTTCAAGTGCTCTAAAAAGTTCCAGAGTTATTCTTTAGGCTTTTTTAAAACCTTAAGTGCTTGTACTAGACCAATGAAAAACAAACTACCAAGTGTTCATATTATTTGAGAACTCATGGGGGAGAAGGTAGGACTATGATGATATCAAACTGTAAATTGGAGCCACTCTTGAAAATATCATTGTCTTTGTACAGAATGAAATATCAAGCCCATTTGTTCAAGCTACAAGTGTTGTATCATTTATCTAAAATATATTTGAAACGTCTTCAAAATAAAATAGGCTCTATATTAACTAATAAATCTTTTCTTTCATCTCTCACTTCTAGCCACTGACACCTGACCTTCATTACTACTATATCCTGGAATTGTCCTTCTATTGGTCCTTAATGTTTTCTCAGTTCACTGACATCAAAAGAAAGGTAAGAGGAAGTCGTGACAAAAATCAGAAGAGGCTGTAGCCCTGTATTTTCTGTGGCTCTTGGCAATTGCTGCATGTCAACATATGCAGAATGTGGCATGGGTAGATTTGAAATCCAGACATCTCATTCTGGACTACACAGAGTGAGGTCCCTGTTACCAGTTTGTACTAACATTATTTTGTTGTCATGGTTCTTTTTCTCAAATACCAATTTTATATTAATTCTTGCCTATAACATTCATTGTTGTTTATCAGAGTGCCAGCTATTTCCAAAAATGATTCAGTTTTTCTTCTCTGACCTAATGCCTTTATCTCATGAAAATAGATAATAATGAATCCTGATAACAGCAATTCCCATTCATCTGATTTTTCTAGCTCAGATATGTGGGGAAGGGGAAGGAAATGAACTATTTATTAAGCACTTAACTATATGTCAGGCACTAGGCTAAGCATTATACAGCTATTATTTCATTTTATCCTCACAACAACCCTGGGAGGTAGGTGCCATTATCACCCCCATTTTATGGATGGGGCAAGAGGTAGGCAGAGATTAAATATCTTGCCTAAGGTCACAAAGCTGTTGTGTTTGAGGATGAATTGGAACTCAGGTCTTCCTGACTCCAGGCCTTCTATCCACTGTGCCACTTAGCTGCCTCTATGTATGAGGACAGTTTTCCAGACTCTATGAAGAAGATAAAACTTCATCAGCAATTGTTATAGTGGACATGGAGTCAGATTATTTTAGTCTACATCAACCCTGTGATTCAAAGGGTAAGAAACAAGACTGACCTAAGTCAGATTATGCTAGTGGCAAGAGAGAACAAATGCAAATTTCCAGGATCCCTGGGATTATATGATTCATATGAATGCCTCAGATCTCATATTATTGAATGATAGGTCCTAAACCCCTTTAGGCAAGAGTTTTTAATCCCAGAATATCCATGGATAGGTTTCAGCAGGTTTGTGAACTTGGATGGAGAAAAAAAAACCCCATCATTATCTTTACTAACCTCTAACTGAAACTTAGCATTTCCTTCAATTATTTAAAAAAGATTATTATGAGAAAGGATCCCTAGGCTTCATCGGATGGCCAGAGAAGTTCATGATACACAAAAAAAAGTAGGAATACCTATCTTAAAGAAAGATGGTGCAAATGTGTCCTGAGCAGCATAAATGTCTGTTGAATTAGGAACTGGTGTCTTAGTGGTATTTAGAACATATTCTAAACGCTACTAATTGACATTACCACCATTGGGAAGGCAGAGGAGTTGATGTAAAAAGCAGGAAGTTAGTAGCTCTTTCCAAAAGCCACAGTGTTAGGACTAGACTAGAACTTTCTTGATCATCAGTCCTGTGATAATCACCCATTGTGCTAGGCATTGGGAGGACTTTATCCATCTTCATGTCAAGCTTTCCATTGGAAGTGGGAGGTCTTTCATGACTCCCTGAAGCCTTTACAGTGTCTCATCCAATTAGGAGCATGGATGGATGGAGAAGAGCCACTGAAAGCCCAGGAATGGCATTAAAATATTATAAACTATCTTTTGCCACAGGGAATCAAGACATGGCTACTAAAATGCTAATATGGCAGAAATGACCAACCCCTGACACTCAGTTGTGCTTTTCTTAATGCATTTGTCATAGCTTTTTTTCTTCCTGTGCTAACAGTGTTTTAAATATTCTTCCTTAATGCATCTGTCCCTTTGTCAGTGTCAGTACTACCTTCATCAATGCTGATTGCAATCCCTGTGTGCATGAGTAGAAGAGCTTTTTTAAAAACAAAATCACCCATTGGGTAATCTTCTATGAGGTGATGAGCCTCTTGGCTAGGTTCCTTCTCAGACAACAGATGCAGTCTGTTGCCAGGCCCAGACTCCAAGCATTACCAGCTTGTTAGGATCTGCTAGAGAGTTTCTTTTCTCCTGACATAGACTTTAAGAACCCAGGACTACCTCCATGCAATCACAAGGCCCTGGGTTTAGAATTTAATAGGCATTCTAATATTCTGAGGTCAATGTTAATTTCTTTATGAGACATATCCATGATGCTAATAAGGAACTACAGCTGATTAATTTGAAGGAAAGGGTTTAACATATTATAGATGTAACAACCAATAACCTGAATGCAGGAAATATTACTGAAAAATGACAAGACTATAATGTGTGCAGAGTTGCTGTTGTGCCTTGAAAAGGGCATTGCTAGTAGCCTAGAAATTGAGAGAGAGAGAGAGAGAGAGAGAGAGAGAGAGAGAGAGAGAGAGAGTGTGTGTGTGTGTGTGTGTGTGTGTGTGTGTGTGTACCTAGTCAAAACCTCAGTGGGCTGGTTTCAATTGAAGGCTAGCTGGATGATGATTTTTGGCATCTTCTCCTTTCATTATCGGGAAGAACAAATATATGTCCCTGACTCATCTGGCTTATTGCTGTTTCTTTTATGAAAATAGGATTTCAAGCACTACCAGGCCTGCTCATTATCCTGCATAGCTTTTAATCACTAAGGACTTATATTTTGACAATTTTCATTATTGAGCTATAACTGTTGTTTTCTCCACCCACATCTTTCTGAGGGTGTCTCCACTCCTCACTGACTCCTCACTCATTGTTCCAGTGACCAAATGACCTGCTGTTCAAGCAGTGAGAAGATGTATGGTGTATTTGTACTGCCAGAAACCCTCCTGAGCGTCTCTATTGGAACCTCTAACTAAACCCTCTAGAAAGTGGATAACAGCCTGTTGCCTCATTGTGAAAACAAGATGTTTGAAGATACCCATTGACAATATGAAATGGAAGCCGACCTCTGAAAGTCTATTAACAGGGAAGTTAATAGAAGGGTAACCAGAACATTTCTTTAGCTCCCTATTAAGTGGCAGTGAACTAGATTGGCAGATTTCAAACTAATACCAGAATCCACAAACACAGGCTCCTACACATACAACCCAGGCTATTGGAATATATTTGTTTCTTAAATGTGATTATCAGTAGACATTTAGCTTGAATTAACTTGGATTAACTTTCCAGGGCTTGGATTTAGGATCTTAACTTTCTACGAAAGTCATCTTTAATTTTCAAAAAATCTACCTTAGGAGATGTTTTTCCCTCTACTTCTGCTCTGTTGTCTTTAACATCAGTCTATTACCATATTAAACCCAAACTCCATAAATAAAGGAACAACTTTTATTTTGACATTAGCATATGTCATGGCATAGTTTAACTGCTTTATTCCTCTTTGTTTTAGTGCCTTATGTATAGAGATGAGAATTGCTATTAATCTTACCAAAGAGAAGTCAATAGCCAAAGTGGAGCCATTTTGTCTGAAGACTCTAATTTGAATAATCCAATAAGTAGAACAATGGCGGCTAAAGCCCTTTGAGTTTTTTTTTAATAAGAAATAAAAATTTCTTTTGGAAATAACAGGTGGAGATATATCCTTATCATTTTTTTTCCTTTTTCAAGGCATACTTTTTTTTTAAAAAATTATGTGTCTTCTCATACCTGTTCATAATGAAAATGTCTTCTGTGCCTCCAACTTTTCCAAAGAGGTGCTAATTACTATTACAGTGTTGGAGCTCTAAACAGCTTGCTTGTGTCTAAACCTTGCACCCTTTTAGCTAAACTGCTGTTTGGCTAGAAGGCCTGGGCGTACGGCCAGTGAATTCTGGACATTTTCAGAGTACTTCACGGCAGATTGCATGTGGCACAGTTCCAGGGCTCAGCTGGTAAAGTCAACTTGTTGTACTTTTTTTTTGTTTTAACCCAAGAGAAACACTAAATCTCATGAGAAATTTTCTAAGGTTTTGATCCTTATAATAGGGAGGGCAGAAATATGGTGATTAAGGTAGGCCAGCCATTTCTTAAAAGCTCGCTATTCCATCTGTGGCTAAATAGGTTAATGGACTGGCAACATTTCTTATTTGTCAGTTCTAGTGCTGCCATTTGTAACTCTTCCTTCCTTCTTCTGATGCAACCTAGGTGTCTATCTTTCCTGCTTCCTAAGCAGGAAAGACCCACCAGTGGGTCTTAGAAAATACTTTATTTTCTTTAAATTGCATCTTCCTGATGTCATGTTCCTCTTTGAGAATGAAGGACAAACAATAACATTTCTTTAAGTTATCTTTAGGTCTTCTTCAGGGGAATGGAATGCCTGAAAAGCTCCCTAATTCTCCATTTTCTTATATTCGTTCTTTTTGTCAAAATGAAATCACATTAGATTATTTCTGCTGATCTGTATGGAAAAAGGAAAGACATTGCTTATTCCCTACTATATAACATCAACACTGTTTTCAGTACAAGAAGTAAATACAGATAACTGACCACTATTATAAAGAGTAATGTGGTTTTATCACGTTTCTGCTTCATGGTCATTATAGCATTTCGTCTTTCTTAGGTTTTTGCTGAGAGCTAGAATCCTGACTCTCGTGATAATAAAAATAGCTAGAATTAATGTAACAATTTAATGTTTGGAAAGCATTTTACCTGTCTTTTTTTTTTACTCCCATAACAACCCTGTTAGGTAGGTGTTATTATTTTCATCCTCAAATCTACATATAAAGAAAATGAAACTTAGAGATTTACTAAGAGTCACATAACTAGTGTCAAGAGGGAAAATTTGAACTTGGGTCCTCCAAACTCCAAAGCTAGCTCTCTTTCCGTTACACCAAGCTGTGGCTGATTCATGTCCTAGTCTTGTCACTATTTCTTATGAAAACAAGCATGGAGAAAGAAACTATTCTTTTATAATGTTTACACCTGTGAAGAGGAGGGTACCAGTCTAATTTAGAACGGGTGTTTCCACATTGGTAGTTGGATGATAAAGCTATTTTTTCAGTAAGAGACCTGTGTTTTATTGGAGAATTTTATAGGGTTTTGTTCAAAGGCTAGCTTAACCAATAGTTTATATGTGCAATAAAAGATTAGGTATGGTGCCAAAATACTGCCGTATACGTGTCTTTATGAGGAGATAACTCATCAGTGCACAAACCCCTAAGGAATATAGCTTGCTGAAAGT